TATATATATATATATATATATATATATATATATATATATATATTTGCTTTGTTGTATTTTTTCAAATTCTTTTGTTGACAATGGTTGTATTTTTATCATAATTATCTTTGAGGGTTTTTCCCCTTTTTTGGTCATTATTTCAAAAGGATTAGAATAAATAAAAATAACATAGTATACTGTAATATAAATAACAATTTGTCAACCAATTAAAATGTACTTCAGCACACAAGATATTCTTCCTGATTAATACCTTATGTTAGTTTATTTTTGCTTTTTAATTGAAATAAAAAATAATACATAGTGGGAAAAAAGCATACATATATACATTTTTGCCAATTCCACCTAAGTATTTCAGTAAATGGTATTCATTACAATCATCCATAGCTAATCAGTGTCAATCAAATTTGTCCTTATGTTCCTCATAACATCAACTTAGCAGACCATTGAGTGGTTGGAGTTTTATGTTTATCCCAATACCCCAAGTTTTCTGATTGCTTATTAAAGGCAAATCCTTTATTGGTTTGTTATTGTGCATGTCTGTTCATTTAAGAACAAATTCACCACCACTAAATTTGTATACGTTTGTGTATGTATAATTTGGTGTAATGGTTAAGATGGTGGCCTAAAAACCATGAGTTCTAGTTCTGCCTTAAGCATGAAAGCCAGCTGGGTGAATTTGGACCAGTCACATTCTCTCAGCCCAACTCACCTCACAAGGATGTTGTTGTGAGGAAGGAGTATTAAGTATGTTTGTCACCTTAAGTTACGTATAAAAATATACTGTATTTTTCGGAGTATAAGATGTACCTTTTTTCCTCAAAAAAGAGGCTCAAAATCTGAGTGCATCTTATACATTGAACACAGCATTTTTTGCCTCCCGAAGCACCGCCCCTTCACCAAAATGGCCGTGCATACCCTTTTGGAGACTTTCAGAGAGCTCCTGGGGGCTGGGGAGGGCAGAAATGAGCAAAAAACAAGCAGTTTTTTGCCCCAGCAGCACTCTATAAGCCTTCATAAGGCTATGCATGCAATTTTGTTTGACAAAAAACTGGCCCTTTTTCATGAAATACGGGCTGGTTTTTGCTCGTTTTTGCCCCCCTCCCCCCAGGAACACTCTGCAAGCTTCCCCAAGGCTATTCATGCCTTTCTTTTAAAAACAACGGGGTCATTTTCAAGAAAAATGAGCCATTTTTGGGAGGTTTGCAGAGTCAAAAACTTTTTTTTNTTTTTGTTTTGTTTGCTTGCTTGCTTAGTAATGTGGCTTTTTTGTGTTCACTGGTGTAATAGTTTGATCATAAGAATGATAGTTCCTGCTTGAGGAAAAAAATGCTATCTCAAAATTACAGCATAGCTTGGGTAGATTAAGGGAAGAAAACGTGTGAAGGATCACTTCTAAGCAACAATTTTTGAGAAATTTTATGATAATATTTGCTATGATATATAGTCTTTCATTGTTGCCCATAGGATTCCTTGCACTTAGCCTCTGCAAGTACACAAAGCCTGAGATACAGTGATGCTACTTCAGGTGAGAGTTCCCATATATGCTGTGCTATTCTTTTCAGTATAACTTGAAGCTTTGGTTTTGCACATGGGTCTCATAAAGTAACATTGATATATAACATCCCTGCTCCATGTCAGTTTTTCTCATGAGGATTGATATCGTTTATTATTTGTTCGTTTGTTCAAATGTGTTATAGCCCTCCAACTCCAAAATCAAAAAATCCATAAAAACTGATAAAACATAAAACACATATAGCCTGGATTAAAACAACCTCAAAGGCAATACAAATCAAACACCTCCAAAATACAAGGATACATTAATTCCAGGCCTGGGACCAAAACCAGATTTTAAAAGCTTTTTGGAACCTGAGTAGGGAGGAAACTGTCCTTACCTCTAGGTTGGGTTGGGGGGGGGGGGGCAGGCATAAGAAAGGACATGCTTTCTGAGTCCCACAATATGTCAATGTTTAATAAAGAGGACGTGCTGTGCGGGTACATACAGAATAAGTGAAAATTATTGGAGAAAAGCTGTCCCTCATCTATTCAGACCCTATACAATACGCATATGATAATTTGGGATTGAATACGGTATGTGAAGAAGTGATATTAGTGGAGGAATCTACAATTGTGCTACATTTTCTTAGCTAGTTAAGTACTAAATGATTGGGTTTTGAGTTTGTGGTAATGATATCATGTCAGGCAAAATGATTATTAATTTGAAAATTTTAGGTTTTTGAGCTGTGGTCTTCAGACTGATCTATCCCTTTTGTATCTCAAAGACTTGTAAAGACCAGAACTATAAATGGATTTTCAATCCTGCCACCATGGGAAATGGCAGCTTATAGTGAATTGCTCTTTGTAGTAAGCATTAGTTTTGCTTACTTATTTCTTTTGTTAAATCCATGCATTACTTCTCTACAGCAGTTGAATAATTAGAGTAAACACTTGATTTAGCAGACCATTGAAGGAGATGAGTATATATGTGAAACCTAGATGTCCATTAAATCCACAAATGAGCCAAATCTACACAAACAATGCAATTTATATGAATAATCTGGAGTTCTTCCAGATACAATTGATTAGTTTGAGGCAATGTTGGGAGGAAAATTTTATCTATTAAATCCTAAATCTGCTATAGCAGGCTTCTTTAAAAGTTTGCTGGTTTGGAGTATCATTCAAAATAGGTGTTTGCCTGGAAATATGATTGCTTAGAAGTTTTCATGTTCCCAAAATATGATGACCCAGAAAAAAGTGCCCATTTTTTCCTCAGTGAATCTAAGAGAACTCTGTCATTTAAAGTTATATTATTTGGGGGAAATGTAACTTTACTAAAGATGTGTTAGAAAACATAATATACATAAATAAGAATAAATATTATCTATAATATATAAATTCTTTATAAATGCATACTTGATTAATTGCATTACATAGGTATATATAGAATTGTAATTCTTTACATATTNAACTGCTTCCATCATCTGTCAATCGGCTCGTCACAAGAGTCCATCACGACAGAAACCCAATATTTTTACTGTTGCCTTTGTTATATTTGTGTTATTTTTTTTATTTGTGCTGATAAATAAATAAAGGGAGACTAGTATAGATCTATTTATCTATTTATTTATCAGCACAAATAAAAAAAATAACACACACACACACACACACATATATTCCTTTATCTACCTACCTAACTACTCTCTCTCCCTCCCTACCTACTGTATTTCTCTTTCTCTCCCTCTTATCTACCTACCTACTTTTTTTAAAAAATTGCCTCCAAAACCTTGGTGCGTCTTATACTCCAGTGCGTCTTATACTTCAAAAAATATGGTAATAAAAGGCGGGATAAAAATGTAATTAAGAATAGCTATATATACAAACTCTTTGAGTATATTTGGTATTGTCTTGGTGATAAGAATACAATTAAGTTTGCTTTTCCTCCCTTTGTCACTAAATACATTTATTTGAGATAGACAGTACCATTTTGTCATGGAAAAGGATTATTGGTTTTATCTTGATCAGTATGTATATGCTTCCCTTTGGATTTGTAACAGCGTGCTCCACAATGGAGAGGTAAGCAATTGATAAAACTTAAATCTTTCTGTATTCTTTCTCTGCTGCTTCCTGCAGAAGCTTTTCTGGGCTTCTGCAAAGTTAAAATTATCTTTTGATAATGTTACATTTTGCTGTAATTCCAGGAATGACATTACCAACAGGAGTTTCAGACTTTTTGCTGGAATGTTTGGATATGGAGACTACTCTGGACTGTAGTTATACCACAACTACTGATTCTACAAGTAGTTATTCATCACCTGAAATATTCAGGGATGAAACTGGTTTAGGTACACATTTTAAAAATTATTTGTGAGAATAAATAATGAAAAGAGATACACGTACCTTTTATGTTTTATATATGCACATGTATTTGTTTTTTCTTTAAATTAGAAGGCAGACCATTAGTACATTATATTTCAATTTATTAAGTACAATAAGAGAGGAAAAGAGATTAAATAGTCTTCTGCCCAATCCTTTTTAATTTGCTAATGTGTATGCATATTCCTTAAATCAATTCATGCATTTAGAATCACCCTTATTTTTTTAAATTTTGATTTGGCAATTCCTGATCTAAGTTTCCTAAACCTAGAGATAAATTCGTTCCATTATGCATTAAGCAAACATTTGCTTCAGATTATACTCTCATTATTAACCTATTTGTTAGCTCCCCTGAAATATATGGAAATGTTGTGAAGTCATTATAAAAAGGCATTATTAACATTAGATCTTTCTGAATTTTAATAATAGAACCATTAACTTCAGAAGACACTGTTACTCCTGAAACACACCATGCGTGCAAAAATTCAACTCTCTTGGATACCAGCAAAGCCATCAATGTAGACAAGATGTCGCAACTGCCAAACCTTTCTAAAATACTCGGTAACTTTCAGTATATGATATATAACATTTTACTTAACTTTGTCAGTGAAGTTCTGTAGAAAAACAGAACTATATATTGAGCAGCTGACTTAGGTCTGGGTAGGAATATGATATGGATAAACTTGTGTCAGGAAATAAAAGCAGCTGGGGGAGAAAAGCAATGGACAGAGCAAACTACATCTGCCAGTTTCCATTGGAAATTATGTCATCATTGAAGGCCAAATATTTCTCAAACTTAATTTGGGGGTAATTCTGCATGTCCCCTGGTCTCATCCATGAAGCAGCATTTCCTGCTGTTCGTTGCAGGAGCCAGCTTAAAGTATATTGCAGTGATGGCTAACCTTTTTGTCGTCGCATGCCGAAAGCCCGCGACTACAAAATGTCCAAGTGTGGATCATGACCGCCTAGATCAGTGATGTCTAACCTTTTTGTCGTTGCAGGCCAAAAGCGTCTGATGACAAAAAGTGCATCCATAATGCAGTGCATGTGTGACACACCCCTGTGCGCCCCATCCCCCTGCGCTTGCACACATGACCCCTGCACTCCCACCATCCCTTGTACATGCGTGCGAGTGACCCTCCCCCCGTGCCCCATTTTGGGCCTAGTAGGCCTCCCTGCAGCTTCTTGGGACCAAAAAAAGCCACGGGGGGCAGGTGCCGCACCCCCTGTGTTCCCCCTGCTACCTGTGCATGTGTGTGCTTCTCCCCCCCGCACCACGCATGTGCGGGAGAGTCCCAAAAATCAGCTGTCTGGCAGGAGGCACGCGTGGATGCATGTTAGAGCTGAGCTGCGGCGACAGCTCCCATGCCATAGGTTCGCCATCATGGGTAAATTGGCTTACTGAAATGCTGGTTGTATTTCATTTTTTACCTCAGCAAAATAACAATTATATCTCAATAAGAAGAGGGGAGAGGAAAGAAGTAGGGTGGGAAAACACTTCCTTTGTTGCAATAAGAAAATCTAAGGGCCTTTTGTTGTCAGTTCCCCATTTTATAGAGTCATTCTATGGGCTGGAGAACTGACACAAAGAGATCCATTATCTTCTTCCTCTTCTGCTACTTTTTGTCATGCATTGCACAAGAGATATAGGACGATAAAAGGCTTGTTCTAGTTTTATAGTTCCACCCACAGTCAGTTGAGCTAGAAGAGTCATCTGGGGGACATCTTGTCAATTTCACCTCAAACTGGTGAGTGCTACAAGGGACTGCTGGCAGCAAGTGGCCATGGTATCCAAAGGTATTCCATTGAAAAGGGGACATGGCATTAGAGTAGGCAAAAAAGGGCACCACCTCTGATGTTTACGTGAGATATTCCTCTGTAGGAGGATAGGCAGGGCCAAACAGGTAAAAGCAGCAATCACAATACCCATCCAAATCAGCTGAAGTTCTTGAAATGTTCAACAGTACATTGGTGCCTGACCCATAAATAAGGGGAGCTGCTATATTAGTGTTTTAAAGCACATAAGTAGTCTCCCAAAAGCCTAAGACATAACTTGCAAAACACATTGTGGTTAGGTTTTCTGTAAGAGAAGACATCCTAGCAGACCAAGAGCAGCAGAGGGTCACTCTTAGTAACCAGAGGGCAGCGGCAATGTTCACAACAGTGTGTGAGTCAATTGAAGTAAAAGCATTGCCTCCAAGTAATGAAGTGCCACAGACAGACTACAAAGCACCAGTCCCACATTTGACATAGACCAAAAAAAGACATAGAGATCACTTTATTGTGGCTCAAAGTCATGTATTCCTTTCTTACATATTTACTTCTTCTTTTTATGAGGATCCCCTTGCCAAGCAACTTTGTATAGCTAACTGAAAATTAAAAATATCAAAATTCAAATTAGAATCCTTAAAAATGTGCTGGACATAAACATATATTATACATCATATGCATGGGTTCATATACTATCCTGCCCCACTGCTTGGGACAATAGCTCAGTCCAAGGACTTCATCAAGGCAGGCAAAGTCAAGTGACAAGTGGTTAATGGAGCACTTTTATACTGGAGCAAGTAAAGTATGGATTGGCACTATGACATAGGCAATTAGAAATACTGTACTATCATGTGTTTATTAGATTCAGCGAGATTAAATCTCTTCCAGGTACCCCTTTAGGGATCCAAGGCCAATACGTTGCCAGGTAAGAAGAAAATTCTCTTTAAATTTGATAATTTGTTTTTCCTATATTAGTAGTGTTCACAAAGGTACCGATGCAAAACAATTTGTAAGAGTAAAGATGCCAACAATGTTATTGGAGTCCAAATGTATTCTCTTAAACCAAAACCACAATAAAAAAGTAATTTAAACTGACACTAGGAACAAGTGACTAGTGCTGTCATTATTGTGGGATTCATTTATTTCATAATATAGTACTAAATTAAATATATTAGGCATTTGAGAAAAATTATCATAATCAGAAATCTTAAAAGATATGAACTTCTGTAATGCGTATTATTATTTTTATTTGTATGACTAAGATTTAAGTCTCACTTTCCGCAGCTATAAGTTTGAGTTCCAGATGCCAATTTCCATTTATATTTCACTCTACAGTTAGGAAATCAACAAAAGCCTTGGACGTGTTATACTAGACTATTTTACTTAGTCAATGTCTCTTCACATTGAACTCTACAAGTGAGACTAACTATAGTTCTGAAGATCCCCTTTTAGAGATTACATTTTCAACAGTGTATCTTTAAAGGTAAAGGTTTCTCCCATCCAGGTGTTTCTGACTCTACGGGCAGTGCTCATCTCCATTTCTTCGCCAAGAGAGCTTTGTCTGAAAGCACTGCCGTGGTCATGTACCAGCATGACTATACAGTACATTGAGGTGCATGGAACGCTGTTACCTTCACCAAAATGGTGCCTATTTATCTATTTGCATTCGCATGCTTTTGAAGTGCTGGGTGGGCAGGAGCTGGGGCATGTGACAGGAGCTTATTCTATTTCGTAGTGCTAGGTCTCAAACCTGGGCTGTCAGCTTTCCAACCGACAAGCTCAGTGTCCTTAACTGCTGAGGCGTCCCGTATCTATGTATTGAGAGACCAAAAGAGGTTCATATTAAAGCAAAATTAACCATATGAATTGTTTTGACTGATTAGCTGATATATAATATGGAATGTCTCTCCTTACCCCAGAGGTCAGATTGGCTCACATCCTTTTTGTAAGAGCCTTAAATGTCTGGTTCGGGCAGATGGCTTGGGGTCCCTAAGGGGGAGTTTCACACTGGAGGTGGTTGACTAATTAAAAGCTAACCCCACTTGCTCTCCCATTGTATCCGACTTGTATGTTTTGTGTTAATGATTTTATTTTGTCATTTGATATCCAATGATTTTAATGGTGGTTTTTAAAATGTTTATTATGCTGTAAGCCATCCAGAGTGGTTTGAATTGAGTTCGGCAGCAAATAAATGTAATAATTTAAAAAATAAATATTATTATATACAAGTAGTCCTTAACAAATGAGCCTAAAATTTCTATTGCTAAGCAAGACAGTTAAGGGATTTTTGTCCCATTTTCTGACCTTTTTTTTTGCCATACTAGGTAAGTGAATCACTGCAGTTCTTAAATGAATCATGTAGTCATTAAGCAAATCTGGCTTCCCTGTTGATTTTCTTTGTCCGAAGCAAGTTGGGAAGGTTACAAGTGGTGATCACATGATCCGGGACAGTGTAACTATCATGAATATATGCCAATTCCCAAGTGTCTAACTTTTGATCATGTGACCATGGGAATGCCATAACAGTCATGTGAAAAACATCCCTAAGTTTCTTGGTGCCATTGTAACTTCAAATTGTTGTAAGTTGAGGACTACTTGTACAGTACTTTCTGCTTAATTTTTTTCCACATCTAAGCACATTGGGCTACAAGCATACTCCACAGTTCTTGATCTGCAGCCATCCTTTGGTATCCAATTGGTTGTGATTTTTACTGAATGTTGCTTACTCATAGAGCATGTGTTCAGCAAAGCCCATTCTTTGTTCTCTTGCTATCTCAAGAGGATCTTTGGGAATTACTTCTTTGTGGAATTTCCTTGTTTGTGACATGGTCCTTATACGAGATATGAATATACAACATTGAGGCAATGTTGTTGGAAGATATTGATCTTATGAACAATTTTTCTTGTAGATTTCCGATTTCACCAGCATAGATGGCATTTGGTATGACAATGACATTAAATAATCTGATCTTGGTTGCTCTGTTTATGGCAGATGTGGTCCAGACTGAGCACATTTGTTGGAAGAAAGCAGCTGTTTTGCCTGTTTGGCATTTCACATCTGCCTCTGTTCTTCCATCTGTATCCATGATGCTACCAAGATAGAGTAGTTGAATTTTTCCACAAATTTTAAGGCCTGTCCTCCTAATGTTATTGGGGTGTTGTCTTGAATACTGGTGACTTGTTTAACTGGAGGAACAAAAATATTTCATCTTAATACATGGAGGTTTTTATTTGCTATGTTTTTTTATAATGTTTGAATATATAATATATTAATATCACAGTATTTTGCCAGCAGAAAACAATCCAGGCAGAAACTCCCTTCTGAAGCCACAAATACTTCAGCTGTGGTAGCAGGTAAAAAAAAAGTGTAAGGTACCTAATAGATTTTTTTTTCTCTATTACTGAGGTAGGATTATGTCAACAGCCTATTTATAGTGGTTCCTTTAAATACTCCCTAATCATATGTTATAAAACCTTTACTGTAGCTGGTTTGCAATCCTGGCACTGAAAATATCGTAACTAAAATAGTTCCCTTCTCATCCTCTGCATTGCTTTGCTGTCATTCATGGAATTTGTTTACATGCCCTATAATAATTTGGTGTCATATTTTCTCACAAGACTCTTCAGGGATTTAAAAAAATGTATGTCTCTACTTAACTATCAGTAATTTTGGCTTGTTTGGGAGCCTAGAAGTACTACTTACTGCATCTAAAGATGTGAACATTTAAAAACAATTGTAAAAGTATGTTTGAGGTTATAACCCTATATGAGTACATGTGTGTGTGAGAGAGAGGGGTGGAGGGAAAGAGAGGGAGAGAGAGGGAGGGAACTCAAGGCAGTTACTATATCTAATAAAAAAAGAAAAAGATTGACCAGTTCAAAATCATCCAGCCAGCTTTCCTACCCAACCTAAGGGAGGCCTAGAACTCTGTCTCCTGGCTTCTAGGCCAGTGTCTTAACTGCTATGGCAGTTGCACCTTTTGTGGAATTGCATGGCTGTTTTCTGAAGAACATTTAATAAATTTAATAAAATTTAAAATGAATGTTCATCCCAGATTTTCAGGTATATCTTACCAGAGAGAATATTCAAAGCAGCGTCCTATACTGTACTCAGATTTGACTGATCTTTGATCATAATAAAACGAGGTATTCAGTTCATTAATTTGTTGAGAACTCTTTCCATTCTCTTTGAATGGCTGTCTATCTACTTACCTTCTTTCTCCTAGTATTAAAATAAATTAAAAAACACTTTTACATCTTCTGTTGGCTCATCTCTGATTTGCATCATCTCAAACCATGCATTTTTCCTTCCCACTAGCACCTTTATATTTTGTGTAACCCAGTATTTCATTTTGTCACAAGACATAATCAAATGCCTTGATCCTATGTCAATAAAGCAGTAAAAATATGCCTGCATAAATGTGCCTTCATAACCAAGTTCCAGATCATACCAAATAATGTACTTACAATAATGTGCTGAAAGGACACGGTACAGAATATCATGTGGCCAAACACTTCCTCTCACGCTATTAAACACCTGTTTCCATGCCAATCATAGAGGAATCTGAGGAAGAAATGAATGAAGAACAGAGGGTGTGCATTCTATTATAAAACATTCACAAAAAATTAGATCAGGAGTGTGCAAAGGCTGGTAAGCAGAATCTTTAGTAAAGAAAAAGAAATCCTTATAAGAGCTATGTTTATTAGATTAAGGCCACCTAACTAACTCAGGGTGGAGGAGAGTTTTTCCTTTCCTCTCATCATTTCTGTGATGGGGAAGGAAAGAATCCTACCAAAATGGTGATCTGGAGAGCATTTTGGAAGAAGGTAGAAAAGGGGGAGGGAGGGAAATCAAATGAACGAGGGAAGCCTGATTCTTCTCATATACTGGATTGGAAGACAAGTCGATGAGACAGGATTGCTCTGGTAAGGAGTACTGGGCACAGAAAATATAAAAATGAGCGTTCCTACCTCTGCTGGAAGCCAGTGCAGCTTTGTAAGAGATTCCTGTACTGGTTTCAACTCAATGCATGAGGTCCAACCTTTAAGGCATATCTTTCCTATACTGCCTCAATTTCCAAGCCAGTATCAGAAGCACTAAAGTGTGTCTGGAACACTTTGATTGGCTGCTAGTAGGAAAAAGTGGCAACAAGCTGCAAAATCACAGCTATTTCTGGTTGCAGGCTGCACCCCAATTTTTTTTTGGTCACTATGGTAACCGCTGTGAGTACCTGATTCATCTAAAGTAATTGGTACCCTTGGATACATACATCAAGTGCAAAATGCTCATTCCCTCTTTGTAGAGAGATTTTGAATAAAGTGGGTAAGCTATATATAGTGTGAAGATATAATCATATGTTCTGAAATTGGGAATAAGTGCATGATGCTGTTGATCGGCTTCTGAGTCACAAACCTATGGCTGGCAAAAACAGGGTTAGGGTTTTTTTGAGATGATTTGAAACATACTGTAGTGTTTTGTTGCATTTTTCAGGGAAACAAGTGTGTAAAATTTTGTCTGCAAATGAAAAAGGACTTAAATCACAGCCTTCTGGGGGTTCATTATTGCTTCCAGAACGAAAAAAGAAGGTAACCATTTTTAATACTCTTTGGCTGTCATGTATAAATTGGGCAAGGCGTGATTACCTTTATTTCTGTGCACAGTTACATGTGTATTTGACCTGTCTACCACAACCGACTGTTTTTATAAGTCTAAGGAGAATATCTTTACTCGTTACAGTGAATCACAATTGTGAGATTTTCAACTGAAGTGTTAAATTATTCGTTGCCAGGCTGTTATAAAAATCACAACAAAACACCCCTTCCAAACAAAGTAGTAACACATCTATATTTATTGATAGAATTGGACATGAATTGGACATGATTCCCACTTGACAATTGTAAGCTAATACTAAAGCACTGCATTCTTCTTTGGAATATCAAGCTGATATGAATGACTGAAAGGGTTACGCTGGTCTTGATTTTACGTTGATGCACATTTCCTTTTTTTTTAAACTTTAGATTGAGGATCAGCAACCCGTCAAAAGGAAATGTAGGAAAAAAATAACATTTGAAAATGTATGTTCTATATCCTCTCCTCATGTACCGTCTTTCTTTGGAAAAAACAGTTCAAAGGAAATGTGTGGGATTGTAGCATCCAAACCATCAGATGCTGACATGGTATGTAACTACTGCCTGTGTCTGAAGGCCATGGGGAAGGTGGAGTGCAATGCACAAAAGGAAAAAAGAAGGTATATAAGCCATATTGAACCTGGAAATTAGAAATACTGACATAATGGCAGAAAATCCACAGCTATGAGTTGCATTGACACTTTGTCATTGAGAAGGAGAATGCCTTTATCCATCTATTTCAGGAAAAAGATCCAATGGGAAGAGCACCCTTATAATCAGTCGAGGCTTACTTATTCAACACTGGATACAGGGGTCAAGGCCCCTTTCACACATTTGTAAATGCAAGCTTGCTCATTTGATTTTCCATGGTTCCTCCGTTTGCACAAATGTAGATACTAAATTCATCTTATCAAAAACCGGCACCCACATGTGGGTAGATGAATCTTGGATTGTTTGATCAAATGATTCCAGCTTACAGAATAATCACATATTTTTATTGCAGAAATACTCTGTATAGGGCACTTAATCTATAATAGGTTTCTTACTTTAAATATTTCATTGAGTTTAAAGGCATTGAATGCATAAATAAACATTTTTATTTCTTTGCTACTAAATGAGATTTTGTTTTTATTGTGTGCTGCTTTTACAAACTGTAAACTACCTGGAAATGTTATCTTAAAGTGTCTTAATGGCACCAGACATTTTGGCTATAATAACTAATATTTTCATTATATAGGTAACAGTATAAATGTTTGTTTGAAGTGTGCCACTTGATAATGTTTTTAGGAAAAATGGTCTTTTTTTAAAAAATGAGCCAATTCACTCAACTGCAAAAGCATTAATATCCTTTGAACATTGTTACTTCTGGGAACAAGTATCCTTACTTGCTTGGCAGTTTTGGCTTGAAAAAAAACAACATTGAGGTGAAATGAATATCAACCAGCGTTTCCAATTTAATGACTTTTATCAGAAACTCAAGCAAAAGCGAATAAAGGATTACTTTATGTACATTTTAAATTATCAATAGCTGAGATGCACCTTAAGATTGAAGGTTATATCCAGACATTTTTGTATTTAGCATTTTCCCCGTTCAAAAGAGAAGCATGTAAACTATCTACTTGATAGTTTTCTGATCTTGAGCCATAATGGTGTCTATGAGAAGCCAGTTTTTTTATAAGCCAGTATCACAGCATATTTTGACAAAGGGAAGGCTGTTTTGTCTTGTCCAGTTCAGATAAACTATACCTGTAAACTGAAGGTCATGAAATATTTTCCCTGAGAAGCACACCCTCTGATTAACCATAACTCCTTGCATTTTTATTTTGTTTGGTTACAGTTAGATTTATTATCCGCACATGAAGCCTCAGTCCAGGACAACTGTTTGGCATACAAAGAGTGTCCAAATATGAATTCAGAAGCAATTGTTCCTCTTTCTCCCCAAAGGACCATTTATCAGGTTATATGTTTATTTACTTTTTCTGTGATTCAATATTAAATTAGTATGCATTTATTTATTTATTTATTTATTTATTTATTTATTTATTTATTTATTTATTTATTTATTTATTTATTTATTTATTTATTTATTTATTTATTTGGTGTTTAAAGCATCAAGGTAAAATAGAACAGGATTTCAAATGCTTTCAAAGTTCTCTGTCTCTGAAATATGATATATTCTTAGGTCTGTTTTTCTTCTGGTTTTACATTTTAGATGAAGGATATTGATTCTGAACCATGAATATTATTCACTTTCCTCCAGGGGTGAACTGCTACTGGTTCAGACCGATTCTCCCAAAAAAATGAAAAATGAAACAAGTTTGGGCGAACCAGTTTTTCCGACAATCAGCTGTGACATGCAATTTATATTAGCTAGAAAGCAGGATTTCCTGCTTTCTAGCTAATCTAAATTGCGTGGCACAGCGGATTTCCCCACTCGCTGTTTATTTATTGTTTATTTATTTATTTTTTAAATTTCTAGGCCGCCCAATCCCGGAGGACTCCGGGCGGCTTACAAAGAA